TCCAGATGTGGCCTCACCAGGGCTGAGTAGAGGGGCAGGATCACCTCCCTCGACCTGCTAGAGATGCTCTTAATGCAGCCCAGGATTCCATTGGCCTTCTTGGCCACGAGGGCACACTGCTGCCTCCTGGTCAACTTATCATCCACCATGACACGCAGGTCTTTCTCTGCAGAGCTGCTCTCCAGAAGGTCGGTTCCCAGCCTGTACTGGTGTCTGGGGTTATTCCTCCCCAGGTGCAGGACCTTGCACTTGGCCTTGTTGAATTGCATGAGGTTTTTCACCGCCCAGTTGTCCAGTGTGTCCAGGTCCCTCTGGATGGCAGCGCAGCCCTCTGGGGTATCAGCTACTCCTCCCGGTTTGGTATCATCAGCAAACTTGCTGAGGGAGCACTCTGTGCCTTCATCCAGGTCATTGATGAATAAATTGAACAGGACTGGACCAAGGACTGACCCCTGGGGGACCCCACTAGCCACAGGCCTCCAACTAGACTCTGCACCGCTGATCACCACTCTCTGGGCCCTGCCATCCAGCCAGTTCCTAATCCACCTCACTGTGCACTCATCTATCCCACACTTCCGGAGCTTGCCCAGGAGGATGTTGTGAGGGACGGTGTCAAAAGCCTTGGTGAAGTCGAGATAGACGACATCCACCGCTCTCCCCTCATCTATCCAGCTGGTCATTCCATCATAGAGGGCTATCAGGTTAGTCAAGCAAGATTTCCTCTTGGTGAATCCATGCTAAGTATTCTTGAGGACCTTCTTGTCCTCCATGTACTTGGAGACAACAGCCAGTATGAGCCATTCCATCACTTTTCCGGGGACGGAGTTGAAAAGAAAATATATTTTGTACCTGCAGAAGAATTGTCCTCTTTCATAACCTCATGTAAAGTTGCACTGAACGGCATATGCTTACCCAGAGATCTCCCTCAGCCCCTGATTGATATAATACTCTTCCAATTCTTAATCTTATTTTCAGTAATCTTTTTGAATGGAATGTATTAGAATTTGAATTATCAGGATTACAAACATAGGTGGGCAACTTTTAAAAAAACATGTATTTCTTTATAAAATCATATTTTAAGAAAATCTTGTGGGTTTAATTTTTTTTTATTTTAAAAATAATTTATACATTTTTATCTACCCTTTTCCAGTTGACATCAGAAGAGACACTTCAGACAGATCATAAATCTGTGTAGGCTGTGCAGACTTTTTTTCCGAGTGGTGGGAGGTGGTAGTGGATATAGGGTGCTTGCTTGAAGACAGATAAGTAATTTTTACTGTTAATAGTTTTTTTTTTTTTATCTGCTTAGATAAAATAGTCAACTTTGTAACAGCCTTCCAACCTTGAGGCTGGAATGCATAAAGGCAAGGGGAGCCCTTGGGGGAGAAAAAAAAAAGAAAAATCTTTTATTCAGACAGATTTTTGGACACTTCGGCATGTGCTGGGTCAGTTTTGCTCAAAGATCTTAAGGTACACATTTCTGGTTGTCAAGAGCAACTGATAGTGATGGGGCTTCAGTTTTATTATAGATGAAGGTGTCTTCACTAGGAACAGGAGAGAGATTTAAACTGCTACTGAAGAATTCCCGTCCTTTCATTGATGTCTTCATCTCTTGTTTTCATGATTTCTTTACTGTTTGGTTATAGAAGAAATGTGCCCCTGCAAGTGTCCTGTTTCACCATTCATGTTTGCTGCAGCATTTCCAAGATATGCATTAACCTCACTGTGATGTAGGAATTAAATGGGGTGGTGGTGGTCAGCGAAAAACCATCTGGTGTGCAGGCTGTGGTCTTTCAGATTCTTTAATTTGGCCTTGATTTTTCTGACCATGAAAGGCTGTCCTCTTGTTTGAGATCTTACACTAGTGGAAAGATGTTCTTTCATGTCTCCTTTGCTTCTCAAAGGAAGGAATCACTCTGTCATCCTCCTTTTTCCTTCAGTTCAGATGGCGTTTCCTGTGTTTCAGTTTGTGCCCACTGCCTTTCATCTTATTGCTGGGCACCACTGAGAAGAGTCTGTCCCCATTGTCTTTACATTGTCCCGTCAGATATTTATATGTATTGATCAGATCCTTCCTGAGCCTTTTCTTCTCCAGGCTAAACAATCCCAACTCTCAGACTTTTCTTTTTTTCCTCTTTATATGACAGATGCTCCAATCTCATCATAATCTTCGTGGCATTTTGTTGGACTTACTCCAGTAGCTCCGTATATCTTTTGCACTGAAGAGCCTAGAGTAACACTTGCATGTCCTCTAAGAAACCAGAGGCAGGCCTCTGCATAATTATTTTACGGATAATGATGCTTAGTCTTTTTTATAGGAAAGTGGAAAAAGGGCAGAAGAAGCAGCAGGGAAAATTTAAGTCAGGGTAAAGCAGTACATATCCAACCACTGTGAGCTGATGGATCAGTGATTCCTTGTGCTCTGTCCGCTTTTTAGGACAGTGCACTGTCAGGGATGACTGAAAATTTTTATTTCTAACAATGCCTGACCTCAGATTCCATAGTTCTCTATACAGTCACTATACTGCTACTTATTTGCCTTACTGTTTTAAAAAATATTAAATGAAGATTTTTTTTTCTATATGCTTTAGCTAGACAGACTGCTCATGAAATGCCAAGTTTGTCATGCATGTGAATGTGTTAGCTGTAATAAATATCTTTGCTTAAAAAAAATCTTGAAACTTAATATAGCTAAAACTTATATGTTACTTTTTTTCTTAAAAAAATATATGAAATCTGCTGAAATAAAATGCAATAAAAAGTAAACAACATGGCCTTTCCTTGGGGGGGAAAAATCAGCAGAAGGCATTTACTTTCTCTTATCTTTAGGAACATGGTTTAGCAGTCATGGTGTTGAAGAGTTTGTGGCTGGACTCAGTGATCTTGAAGGTCTTTTCCAACCGTAATGATTCTGTAATTCTATGGTCTGTATATATACACACACACACACACACACAGAGAGAGAGAGAAAGGAGTCTATCATATTAAGTTTACTGCCTGATTTTATTGTGTATGTATGTGCATGCTCGAGAGAGAGATATAAAAACCTTTCTGATTATTCACTGAGATGAATTTGAAAAAGTCCTTGGAACAACACACTTGGTATTTTAAAGCATTCTGTGTTTTACTGGACATCATTGTGAGGTGAGCCTTACATTGATTATGTAATGGAATCTTGTCTTTTAGATTCAAAGAGTATTAAAAAAGAGAAACATGGAAAGAATCAGCAGGCAAACAACCCATCTTTAAAAAGTGGTAGGTATTGCAGCTGTCAGGTTATTAGTTAAGATACTCTTTTTAAAAGAAGTATATATTTGGATTATACTGTCTCTCAAGGTGTTTTGTTTTATTTATTTTATTCTTTTTTTCCCCAAACTTCCTTGGCTATTACTGATGGGTAGTTGAAAACTAAAACTTCTGTCTACTTCCATTAACAAAGCATGTTCTGGTACAACAAATGATGCTTGAAATAGTTTGACTTCAGCCTGCTAGTTTTCCTAGCCTAAGGCAAATTGTCTATATAATCCAAGCACTCTTAAGATGATTTATTAATTTGCCTGTTTCTCTAATCATATTCTACCCCTTTCTGTGCCTCTTCTGGCTCTTTTAGCTTCTCTTCCTTGCATATTTGTTGGATCCAGAGTAAGGCTTTTAACTTTAATAATCTGAATGTTTACTGTTGCTGACTAGATTAAATTGTCTGGGATTTTAATTTTTACTTTAAGAAAATTCTGTTTTCAGCTCAACGGTGTATTTCTATTAAACTGAGGAAGCTGCACTTGTCAGAAATGGTCCTGCTTCTTACCAGGCTGAGATACCTACTTCCCGCAACAGGTGCCATAGGGCCTGTGCACTGGGAGTGCTGCCAGCTCTTCTGTTCACCTTTAATGTTATGCTTTAGTGCATAAAGGGGCGCTCTGGCCTTTGTGGCTTGCACTAAGAGGATGGCAGCTTCGTATGCTTTTTATGAGTTCATGTTGATTGCTTGAATATAGGGCAGTAAGAAATGTCACAAATCCTGTTGACTAAAGTAGGAATTTATCTTTCTGAGTCCTTAGTTAATTCTTGATAAAATATCATCACGTTACTTAAACTCTCACTTGCCTTCTGGTTCCATGCCCTTTCGTTCCTAATAGGTGGCCTAGTACAGAGAGTTTTTTGGATACCAGAGGAGGAGGAATGAATTACTGCAGTATAGTCATTGGAACAACCTGGAAAAAGGAATATGATTAATGGTTTGTTGGGGCAATGACATCACATACAAATGTGATATTCTGTTACCACCAACCATAGCAGGCTTTCTGCTATTCCTTTGGTCAGATGCTTGCAGTTTCTTGAATATTGGCAGTGATTTCTGATATTTTTCCCTGTTACTTTGAGACATGAGAGGAAATGGTGGTGTGTCTTGTTTTCTCTCTCTAGCAGTGTCAAGTCAAACTGAAGTCAAATAGCACGCCTATGTTTTAAAATAATGCTGTCTAACAAAACATAAGCCTCGCACCCTCAACACTTCTCATATATAAATAAGATAACAAAACTTAGAGTCACTCTAAAGCTTCCCTGCCTTTTTCTGTAGTAGAACAGGGTGTAGAAAAGGCTTTGTGCAGAAATTGTGCAAGGCAGACAAGCCTCATTCCATCATCTTTGTTCTTCCACTGAAGACTCTGCTGTTAGTGCACTATCTGAGCACTGAATTTACTCATGAGATCTAGCCTCAGCTCTGTCAGACATCCAGAGAAAGTGACTTGCTCTAGATCACATGCCATCTCTGGTTATATATGAATGAGATGATAATTTCTATCCAGTGTTACTGCTTTTTCGTGGAAAGGAAGAAGAAAAAGCCTCTCTGTGCTGAAAAAAGGAATGGTAGGAATGGTACCTTAAAGTACTTCAGGCTAACATCCAGCAAATCTTAAGACTTTTCTTAAATCTTAAGACTTAAGATGATGTGTGGTAGGAGAAGCTGAAGAGGGGAGAGAAACAGAGGTGTGAGAAGAAAAGAACAGATGAATAAATAGACTAAAGTGTCTGGGGAAATACAGGAGGAGAAAATTTCTATTTGAATGATCACCACATATGGATGGAAGTATAATGGATGATATAAAATATTTTATATGTACTATGTTTGCAAGAATATGTGAGCCAAAATTAAAGAGAAACCTTGTCATCTTTGACAAAAAGATGGTGAGATGAAGACTAGAAAAGACACAGTTATGTGTCAGAAGTCTGTGATCTATGCCAGGAAGCCTAGGGATGAGATGAGATGTGCGGTGCTCCATCTGCTTAAACAGCACTTAGACTTTGGTGATACTGCATTAAACTGAATGAAATAAACCAGAATCCTAACTGTTTAAAACTGTCAAAAATCATCATTTAGATCTTTAATTAAAAAAATATTTAAACTAAACTGAAGTGCTATGTACAGTAGAGGAAGATAGAGATCCTTTGGCACATCCATGGAAGCAGACGGGATGCCTGCGAGTGCTGAAGCTGCTGACTGATGTCACTGCAAGGCCCCTCTCTATCGCTTTGGAGAGGTCGCAGTGATTAGTGATGCTTCCTCATGAATGAAAAAAGCCAAACAATACTCCAGACTTTGGAGGGAGAGTATCTGGGTAGCTGCAGGCTGCAGTGCCTAACCTCAGTCTGCTGGAAAACTGTGAGGCAATCCTCCTGGAAGCCATTGCCAAGGAAATAGAGGACAAACCTATGCTTAGGAACAACCAACATGGATTTGCCAGGTGCCAGCCAGGCCTGACCAAACTGACTGCCTTCCCTAGCAGGACGCCCGATTCTACGGACACAGAGCGAGGGGTGGGTGGTGTTGATCTCTGCTTAAGCAAGGCCTTGGGCACGGTCTTTTCCAGTGCTTTTGCAGCAAAACTGGTGAGATGTGGTTTGGGTAGATGGGTAGAAAATTGGCTCGACTGCCGAGCTCAAGGATTTTTGAGCAGCAGCAGGGAGTCCAGCTGGCAGCTGTTACTTGTGGCATTTCTCAGAGGTTGATGCTAGGGCTCGTGCTCTTCTACGTCTCCTTGGTAGACTAGTGTGAGAGGAAAGGAAACCCCAGCAGCTAGTTTGTGCGTGATACCAACCTGGGATGAACGGCTGATGTGCTGGAGGGCAGCGTTGCTATTCAGAGGAATCGAGGAACCTGGATATGCTAGAGAAATGAGCCCCTAGGAACCTGAGGAAATTCAAAGGCAAATGCAGAGGCCTGCACCTGTGGGAGGCCTAATCCCACGCAACAGTGCAGCGGGAAAGGGGCAGCGCAGGCCCTGGAGGCTGCTGCGTGCTGAGCGGAGCGCGAGGCAGCAGGGCGCTCTTGTGGGCGCGAGCGGCAACTGCACAGCAGGCTCTGCGGCCGGAGCGCACCATCCGCTCCTCCCTGCTGCGCCTGTGGGGCTGTGTTTGGAGCGCTGTGCTCACTGTTGGGCACCCCAGCAAGCCTGCTGGAAGGCCATCAGGAAAATGGAGGTGCTGGAGCACACGATGCATGAGGCAAGAGAAACAAAACTGGTCTCGTCAGCCTTAAAAGGAGAAAGCTGGGGGGAGAGTGGCTTGCCGTCCTCAGTTACCTGACGGGTGCATGTAGAGAAGGCTCTTCTGAGAGGTGGAAGGAGAAGAAGCAACAAAAATCAAATTGGAACATGGGCAATTCCTATTTTTATAAGGAAAAAATTCTTCCCGGGGAGGGTGGTAAAACCCTGGAAAAGGGATCTGGAGCAACTGTGGTGTCTTTGTCCTTAGAAACCCTCAAAAGCCATCAGGTCCTCAAGCAGCATGGTCCTTGTTAGGCCTTCTTTGAGTGTTGGGGGTTGTGCTGGCCCCTTCTGGTTTAGGTTACTTTGTGATTGGCAGCATTTGTTGGGAAGCGATACAGTATTGCGATAGTATGGGAAAGAACATCATGGGTCATTCACTGAGTTGCATGAGGCAACCATGTCATAAACCTATATTCTGTATATTTAAACTAATGAGGCCATTTGTCCATACTGGCTGTGTTGGATCACTATTTTAACATAATTCTGGAGTTGGTTACAAACTTTATTCTTTACAAAAATCTTAATTATGTTCATTTTTTTCCTTCTCCATTTTCAGTATATGCTGATTTGTTCTTACCATATTAATTCAGCATAAAAATGCTTTTCTCTCTCCAGTTTTCTCTTTGCTCCTGGGTTCATAGAAAATGTTGTGCTTGGTGCATAACAGGTTTTTCTAAAGCTATTTTATTCAGCCTACAGGTTTGAGTGGGAAGAGGAATGCAAGTTAAATCATTGTGTGAGATAATTTTCTTAAAGGCTTTTATTTCTCAGAACTTGTATGCTTATTGGGGCTTCAGAATTAGAAATAAATAGAAATGTGCAGAAAACAATTGCCTCTCTACCTATGCAGTCTGGATACACAGAAGTTTTTCTTGTGGAGTTTCATTTGATTATCTCCCAAGACATGCATGTTATGTATTACAAATGTATTTTCATATCCTTTATTTTAACACTGCAGTAATTAAATTATAATAAGGACTATCTCTGAGAACTTGGCTTTAATTTGCTGCAGCATGTCGTCACAGGTGGAGTAATCCTGCAGTAGACCTCAGGCTGTTGTTTGGTAAAAGTGGTTTTAGTATCTCAGGTTTAAGGAGAAGGGCCAGTGTGTCGTTCTTGGATTTGTGTGCAGCTGTCTGCATGTGCTACTTTATGTATTTTATGCTACTTTGCTTCTCAAAAAATAACTTTTACAAAGCAAAACTTTGCTTCATCGTATTTATATTTGCAGCCTTCTTGACTTGGCAGATTGACCAGCAGATATTGTGGGTACTGTCTTATCAAACCATCCTTGCCACACGCACCTTAAATACCGTGCAGTCCCCCAAATTAGCCCTTTTTGAGATTTTATTGTTTTGTTATGTGGTTAACAGCCAGATGTTTTCTGCAGCCAAATGTCCTCAGCAGTCTCACGGACAGATCATTCCTACCCTCTTGAGGCTGTTATGCCCCAAAACAAGCAAACAAAAAAACAAGAACAAAATCTCAGTTGGCCCAGGAATCCCATTTTCTTCTGCTTGAGGCACTATGAGGCACTACACCTTTTCAGCTAAATATTACAGTAATAAAACACACTGCTTTCAAACCAACAAGTATTCTTCAGAGAAGCAGTATGCAAGTGGCTGCTCGGATTTTGTTTTTTCTTTTTCCTGTGTCTTCTCTCCCGAACGTTGCAGAAATGTGCTTAGCTGTGCCCGGGCGTGTTCTGGAGGGCAGCGCCAAGAAACTTGAGTTGGGTTCCGGCTTGGCTGCCACGTCGGAGTCGGGATCCAGGCTTTGGAGAGTGGCGCCGCAGCGAGCGCTAGGTGGCGCCATGGTACCGCTTGGGGTCGCCTGTTACCGAGTTGCTCGGGAAGATGCCAGGTGCCCAAACAGGAAAAATGAGGAGAAGAGCTCAATTAGATAATTACGCGAACAAAAACGTTAGCTGAACTAATGTAGTCGTCGTCTTGTGCATTCATTTAAGTAAATCCTCTCTTATATCTTTGATATTAGTATTTCATACTGTTGTGTTAAAAACTAGGGTAGAAATGTGTAACACCAAGGAAATGTAATGTAAAACACTCCCACCCACCTATGCACAAAAAAGATCTCAACATTAGCATTTGAAAAAAAATAACAAGGTACTTGTTGCTGAACACTATAGTGATATTTACTTCATCTTACAAGCCTTAACTTTTAGGAGACTTAGGAGAAAAAGTCATAAAAATGAAGTTAGAAGTCATTTTGTTTTGTTTCATTTAAGATCACAGACTGGGCGAATCCTTTTGATTTCTAGTGGATTTGGGATAGTATATGATAGTATATGATACATCATCCTGTAAGCGCAGAACCAAAGTGGCTATACTTTTCAAAATACATCGTCTCAGCAGTCCTATGAGGTAGGAAATGCTGCTGTTCCCATCTTACACTTAGGGAGACAAAGGCACAAATATTAATGCAAGGATGCAGTGCAAGGATGTTTGGGGCATCCTTGAGCAGGTGACTGAAGCTAGATATCCTTGAGTAGTATCTTTTATATAAACTACAAGAAGAGAATGTGAGGGAGATTGCATTCATTTTGCCTGTTGTGTGATCAACACTATGGATTAACAGAATTTCTAAAACGGCTTCAAGGATTTTTATTTTAAACAGGTGGAGTTTCCATTTTAAAGTAATTCTGTTCTCAGGAAAAAAAAAAAGTAATATTACCAAATAGTTGGAGGTTTTCTCCCCCTCTTTCCTAAGAGCTCCTTACTGTGTCATTTAAAAACTGTATTTTTTTTCTTTTTTATATGTCTTCCAGAACAGTTTAATTGGGATGATTATCTGAAAGAGACTGAATCAGTAGCTGCCCCTCTACATTGTTTCAGACAGGTATGCTAAGTACTGCTCCGCAAATCTGTGTGAATGCGTACGTGTTGATAGGGTGGTGCTGGAGCAACATTTATATGTGCACTGCTTGTAAATCTCCTTGGTTTCTTTTGATTTCAAGTTATAATTTGATAGATGCTCTCTGTTGAAACTTTCTGACTGTATTTTTTTTCTTTTTTATATGTCTTCCAGAACAGTTTAATTGGGATGATTATCTGAAAGAGACTGAATCAGTAGCTGCCCCTCTACATTGTTTCAGACAGGTATGCTAAGTACTGCTCCGCAAATCTGTGTGAATGTGTATGTGTTGATAGGGTGCTGGAGCAACATTTATATGTACACTGCTTGTAGATCTCCTTGGTTTCTTTTGATTTCAAGTTATAATTTGATAGATGCTCTCTGTTGAAACTTTCTGTTCTTGATACATGCCTCAAGCCAAACTTTGAGGGTTTCATTAATATGGTAGCAATGGTTTTTAAGGAAGACTAGATCTGTGTGCATATACACATACATATGTATATAATACAGACAAGACGTATATACGTGTGTGTGTAGCAGAATTTTATTCATTGCTTTTTTTTTCTGGACCTTCCAAATATGTGTAATTTTGGATCCTCCTAGGCAGAGTGATTATTTCCAAGGAGCAGTAGATACTGAAGATGTAAAAAAAAAAAAAAAAAAAAAGGGCATGGGATGGGGAGGGGAGAGAGCTATATGGGGAATACTGAAGCAGTACTACTCAGTGCTACTTGTTGCACAATGAAGAACATTATTTGCTCCTGACCTTCCATGGTACAGAGCCAGAGCTCTGGTTCTCTGGTTGCTGGCATGTTGCTTCTGCTATACAGAAGGTGGGTAGTAGCTAAGCCTAAACATTTCAGAGAAACTTAAAAAAAAAAGTTTATTGAAGACTAGAGGTGTGTCGACTATGTTCTCTGAAGTTAACAGCATTATTAATTGTTTAGTAATAGCTAGAAGGAATGGGCAGTGATCATAGAAGAAAGGTTTCTATATACTGTTGTATACTGCCCTATGCATTTGATTTCATCTCTGCCTGATGTTTTTGTATGCGTTCCAAGTTGAAATTTAAATCTATCATCCTGTGTGAGCTAATGATCTCCAGTGATCTAATGATCTCTGGAGACTAAGTCAACCTCTGCAAGCCTCTTCTCTTCTGTAGAGGGGCATGTGGGCCACTATGCCCCTAACTTGAGGACTAGCTTAGTTAGCTGCGTAATGATAGACAGGATGAGCTTTGGTTTGCCTGGCTTTGCTGTATTAGAAAGGTAAGTGCAGAAGGAATTGCATAGTTCAGGTATGAGTGACAAATGGAAAATGTAGTTTAGTGGATGGGGTATGTGCAGAGAGGTATCTTCTTGGATGTGTCAGTAGTCTGCTGCTGTGAGCAATACTGGCCTTCCTTCAGCGGGAACTAACACAACGCAACATGACCGAATTAATCTGAGGAGGAGGGAAACTGTTACACAGTGAATTTGAAGCAGCTTGTAGAATTGGAGGCTGAAGAGAGAGGAAACCAGGTGGAAACACTTCCTCATGCTACATCTTGGGTCACAGCTTGTTTTGGGGAGGTTGAAGTTCAAGGACAAAGAGGCTCTTATGTGTTGGTTTCAAACAGCAAGCAAAGAAGGTTAGAGGGGGCTGCAAGTAGCAAAGTCCATAGCTCCATTTGCATGGAGCACCTGTAACTGACTACCTTCAGTAAACAATTCTATAATAATCTCTTTTTTACACCGAATACCAGCTCAAGGCAGAGACCCCAAACTGTGTGGGCGGGGGCAGAGATCAGTAGCACAACCCTCGGTCATTCCGAAGCTGATAACTGTCCTCGCACACCATGGACCATCATGGCAAAAGCATCTACTCTTGGGTCATGGAGCTATTGCAGAAACCTGCCTAGAAGCCTTTCCTTGTGTTTTTTTTGTACCTGAATCTTCCCCTTGGCCACTGGTGCTGAAGATTTCCAAAGTGAGCAACTGAATAATGCCTTAAATAAAGGTAGTTAAGTGACATGCATTGACTGAGTTTAGTGTGAGTGGTTTCGGTTGCTTGAAGTGTGTGGAGGAGTTAAGGAAGTTTCATTTCTGTGCATAGCAAATTTCAAAACAATTTGCATGTGCAGATTTATAGTTCCTTCTAAATGTTGACCTTCAAATAGAAAGTGATATGCAACATTAATTATTGCAGAGCTGACTCCTCTCACTAATTAATGGTTGCAGATTTTAGAAGCAAAAGTGCTCAAGCTTTGTGTAGGACTAATTGGACATTATTGGGTTGCACATGGCTTGTACATGTCATTATCACTCTGTGTAATTTGAAGAAATACTCTGCAGTGGCAGACCAAATGCAATCAAGCAGAGAGAAGCTTAACTTGGCAGTTAAAATCAGAATTTGTAACTTGCGAGTGTTTCATAAAACTTAAATTTTATATTAAAATCAAAAAAAAAGTGGCCCAGGGGACAAGATAAGTGTCATAAGTGTCTACTATAAGTTAATATACAGGTGTAGACAGCTAATAGAAATTGATAAAATACACTCTACATTTAGATAATTACGTTAATCTATTGTTCTTCATTGTTTCTAATTACCATTTAAACTTTTGAAATAATCCACATCTATTTCTCTCACCATATCACTTTCTCTCAAACAGTTGAAAATTGTAAGTAAAAAAGGACCAGTCCCTTCTGTTTGAACAGAGCTTAAAAGAAGGTTGTTATTTAACTAGTTTTGCTCTATGGGTGCAAATAAGAACCGATATGGAGGTGATACCTTTTTAGTACAGTGCCCTGAGTTACTGCAGTTTAAACAAGCTCACCTTTTTAAAAAACAAACAAACCCCTCCAACTTTTCACTTTCAATTGCTTTTCATGGTTGTAGAAAATAACAGCTTGACAAGCAATATCCTGAAATTGAATTGCCCTTTAAATTTAATACGCTGAGGTTCCTCTCTCAGCCAGCCTGCTGTCTAAATGTTCTGCTGGCAGATGCTGCACTCAACGTTTACTGAATATTGCTTGTCTCTCTGGTTTGGGGGCACTGGCTCTTTCAGGGCTCCTGCTGTAGATCTGAGGCATGATTCAAATAGAGCACCTGCACGCAGTAGCATAAGCACAGCAAGATATGTATTTAAAAATTTAAGGTAGTGGAGGCAAAATATCACCAGCGCTTTAGAGTAACACAGAATACCTTAGCCTTTTTGTGTATGCCCAGATGTATAAATGTGCCAATCTGAAAATGTGTAGGGATGGGACATTTTTATCTTGGGAGTGAGAATGCTCACATTTCTTACTTGTCTACCTGCCTTGTGTGTTAGGTTTCAGGTTGACCCTAGTGCCTGTGTGGGAGAACTAGGGGGTTGAAATGCCATGGAGAGCTCTGTCTACAGTTTTTATCACCTGTGTTCAAAAACAGCTTGTAGTAGAAGAGATGCATCAAAGGGCTTCCAGGATGGTAGGGAAATAGTCATTCTCCCTTAGAGAAATTCTCCTTAAGAAACTACAGTTCTTGCTTATTCAATTTGATGAAAGAATGCTGAGAAAGAATTAGGTTACCCTATATCAATATCCTGCAGGTTTCATTGTCATTTGTAAAAGATTCAAGGTGAAAGATAACATTGGTGAAAGTTTCCATGAATATGTGTAGTCTGGAAATGAGGAGGTTTCTGGAGATTCTGGACTAATCCTTCTATGTGGCAGAAGCAACCAGGCCCATTTAGGTTTAATAAAAAATTCTGAAGATCATTAAATGATTTGATTGCCTGCAGTGCTGTTGCCATAGGTAGTGGTGATCCAGTGGTTTTCTACCCTTGCTGTGGATTTTTCCATCTTAGCAACAAACAGTCCTGTAAAAAATATTCCCTTGGCTCTTTTTCATCTCAAACTTTTCACAAAAAGCTTAGGCCAAAGACCAAATTGCATCGTCACGTTTCTTCTCCCTGTGCCAGTGTCTTTTTCAAAAATCTGATGCTTGCTAATTAAATCGGCGTTTCACTCTATGTGTATATGTATGCATTCAGTTTTCTGTGGATAAGCACAGGCTATAATCCCTGTTTTAGCCAAGAAGTTTCATATGGCTTTGGGCATGCATTTCCTTTCTGTAAAATTTAATCTAACATTAACTCCTTTCTCTCCTTTTTTCTTTCTCTAGATATTTAGCAATTAAATGGTATTTCCGGATGAAGAAAGCTGTACATTGAATTAGCTGGTAAATTAAGCACTACTAACAAAAATAAGAAACATGTCTTTTGCCTCTTCCTGTAGTCCAGAATTCCCCCTACGAATGATTTCAAAGTTGGTATGAAACTGGAAGCCCGTGACCCTCGCAATGTCACCTCGGTTTGTATAGCCACGGTAATTGGAATCACCGGTGCCAGGTTGAGGTTGCGACTCGATGGAAGTGACAACAAAAATGACTTTTGGAGGCTTGTGGATTCCTTGGACATACAGCCAATCGGCACCTGTGAAAAGAAAGGGGGAATGCTCCAGCCTCCTCTTGGTAAGAAACAAAGTTTCTGAACTGTGGCATCTGGAGTGATGCTTTCATACAGGCAAGTTTGTTTTTTCATGTTGGCAAATTTGATCATACTTCCCTGAACCATTATTTGCTTCCAAAGGAGAGGTAAGCAAGGCAGTTCAGAGTAAATCAATTGCCGCTTTTGTTGATTTGGATTTTTTGGACATGAGAATAAGCAGAATAATTAGATTTTGAGTTGTTATTTTTATAAATATCCTTTATTATTAAATGGGTGTGTCAGACTGACAACTTTTTTAATGTCCAAATGTATTGTCTTGTGCAGCAGTCTAAAATTATTTCCTGATACACACCCTATCCTGTGGGTGCGGATGGATATAGTATTTTCTTCCTTTATGTGTATGCTCCTTTTAGCAGGCCTTGTTGGTAAGAATAGAGTAGCAGTGGTGAAAGCAGAGTGATGCTTTTTTCCTTTTTCTTCTTCAGCTGAATAAAGTGGCCCACTAGAAGGCGCTCACTGGTAGCCTAAACCTATCCTGCTGGGCAGCAGGAGACGCATCAGTCTAGGACTATCTGAATGTTTTTTTCAAGCTCTCAGAGAAAATTGTTGTGATCTGGGAAAGGCAGCGTAGGAAGGGCTGGCTCAGTGTTGTAACGTTCTGCTCAGAGGTGGGAGAAAAGCACTCTGGGGATTTGGCAAACTGTAAACTTATATTGCATACGATTCTGATCTCCTCTAATCCACGCATCTTGGGGGATGCCTGATCAGTTTTTTATGACTGGGTTATGAGCACTATGAACACTCATAAACAAAATATAGCTTTCTTGTGTTTAGAAATAGTACAAAACCTAAAATAGACTTAGTCTGCAGAATATCTCTTGCCTTCTGTGGGCGGTATAAGCTATGACATTGTGATTCCCCAAACTGAGGAAACAGTACTTAGGCTTTGTCAAAAAAGATTTGAGGGGGTTTATTGAAGGGGGAACTGTACAAAGGAATTCCTTGTTGTAGATGAACAGTCAAAGTTGACTTGACTGACCTCTGTGGTTAATATAATTGTTTCACAACTTTTCTTTGTATGATTAATCTGTATATTGAACCATATTTGTTATAGAATAAATTCTAGGTTTGAACATTTTTGAAGCAAAAACATTTTTCATATTAGTTTGAAAATAGTTCTGCTTTAAAAAAAAAACCCTAAAAAAAAGACAAATACTTCCCTTAAAAAAAAAAAAAGACAAGAAAAGAAAACCACACAGCAGCAACCCCCTTGCCCCCCTTGCTCGAATTTGTAACCTTCTGCTGAGAAATAATATAAGAATGTTACTAGTGTTTTCTCATCTTGTGGTTATAAATCTCCTTCTGGCTTTGGTATCATTAGTAAATCTTGCACATGAAAAAACAGAGGTTCAGTAAAGATAAGTATACTTTCTTTATTTTTTTATTTAAAATAAAAATAAAACCTCTTAAATTTGTGAATATTAGATGCTAAGACTTTCAGATCCACGTGAACATTACCGTATTGTTACAATGTGAAACTTGATTTGCTTTTAAATAAACAAGCAGTTACAGCAGCAGTACAGTATATGAGCATATGTAACCTTTAAGACACTTAAACTAGATTATTAAGACAGAGTTTTGTGCTGCTTTGCTGCCTTAGAAACACAAGGAAGGCAATGCAGCAGGGGCACAACTGTCTGGAAAAAATACTGTTTAGGATGGAAAGATGTAGTTTGAGTCCAGAATGGGATTTTCCTTCTTTCTTTGGAACATAATAAGTTTTAAATGAAAACATTGTAAATTCTTGAAGAAAAAGAAAATCTAAAACTTTTTTGAGGAGTTTAATCTCTTTGGTGTTCTAGGTACACCCTCTTAGAACGAATGCTGTGCTACCAGTATGAAAGAGGATGGTTAGAAGAATGAGCAGACCTGTTCCTTCAGATGTCCAGTTTTATATGTATGGCTTTAATTCAGGAGCCTAGTACTTTTATAAACCTGTTGCTAAACGAGCGTGATATACAAAACAACTCTGGCTTATGTTTAATGGGATCAGCTTACCCATTAAGAAGAGCAACATTTTGTGCTCCTCAGTGGCAGGGTTGATGGATACCGTTTGGATACTGTCTCGCACTTCGTTCAGTCAGGCTCCTGATCATACTGTACCTGACAAGATGTTCCCAAACCACCAGGAATGCGAGCATATCTGCCCTCAGAACAATTGCTGGTTATTCAGAAAAGAATGCAAGTGCCCTTATTTTGTCCCTCCTGTCCTAGATCTTCCTAGAGATAGGCTACGGTCCAGCCAGCAAGCATTCTGCTATACCTAGATAAATTTTTGAAAAAGCCTTTTTGGCTGTTTTACAGCATCCTGTTCCTGGGCAAAGCTGGGAACTAATTGGGTGTATAATTACCTCCTGTTAGACATTTAAACTGATTTTTTTTTCTCTCTCTCCTGAGTAGTAGGGAGCCTTCTGGATACTAATGTTCTATTTCTTTCGTAATAACAAGTTAAAAATCTTCCCTCCTACCTGATTGTTACATAGATTTGATTACGCACGTTGCACCAGGTTTCTGAAAGTGATTAATGTAGCAAAGGTTTCTTATTCCAGCTTCCATTTGTCAGAGGTGATTTCTCGTTGTTCTTGCTGTTTTCAGCCATTTAATGTTTTAAGAAAACTCCCTTGAGGATGACGTTTTCTGTGTTTTTTTTTTTTTTTTACCAGCGCAATTCAAAGACCAAATGAAGTTAACTTAAGCTGTTGCTCAGCTGTCATGCTGCTGTCTCATGTATAAGTCTTTTCTGTGGTAGCTGGCTAGGATTATGGTATTTCAAGAATCAAACGTGTTTAGAGCATGGAAAGATTCTGGTATCAAACCAGGTCTGATGATCAGCTCAGTAGTCCTCGTGTTATGGCATCATTTGTCAGGCATGAGTTTTGTATTCATTTAGGGGTAGTTCCAACCAGAAGGCTCTTTATTCAACAGAAGATAACTTAAAGCTACAAGGTAAAGGGCCGTTATACCACACAGTCCAATTTGAGGTCGTTTAATTATTTGGCAAATGGAAAGCTGCAAGTCATGATCTACTTTTGCACTTCTTAAAGGGTTCATGGAGGCTGGTTATGAGGAAACACCTCAGTTCCTGGCAGATTTTAGAACTACGTGCTTTGTGGAGAGGTTTCCTAATTGTCTTACGTCTGTTCACCTATTGAGCTATGCCAGGTGCTTACCTGCTAAAGACAGAGAACCAAATGCCTAGTATATCTTTCACTTCATTCATTACTTTGAAGCTTATGTTTGGAAAGCTCAGAAAGCAAAGGGGGGTGTTTTTAACTGTGCACAGTTTAACTGTGCACAGTTTTTAACTGTGCTGAGGAACTCAGGTTCCTCAGGTTCCTTTCCCTTGAGTTGTTTCTCAGGGAGGATTACCTGGAATTAAAGTAGTTTCAGCCAAACCTTTGTTCTGCCTGAATAAGGTCATTAATCTAAACGGATCTGATCATTGTTTTTACTTTTTATTCATTTCTTTAATGAAGAATTTAAAATCAAGAACAACTTACATTGTGTTTTGCAATACAGCATATGCTTTTATTAAATTCACTGTTTATCCTTTGGTCTGTGTGTATGTATGCATATGTATGTATGTATTTTTGTTTGCTCATTTATGGAGGAAAGAGAAGAAACCAGTTCTATTTCTTGTCTGTGTTCCAGTGAAAGGATTACAGTAGTCTTGAAAATGAAAAGGTATCTCTAGTAAATGAGAAAAGTGGGAACTAAGAATGTTTTTTTGGGAATGAGAGTAGAAAGTGTCTCAGAAAAGCAAACGGGGTACTTGCACTGAGGAAGCTCCACTGGATCAGAGAATGTGCCAGGTGACTTGGTTATCACCTCCCATATCTCAGAGTTAGACTGTGACAAGTGATCTACAGGCAAACCACTCAAAATGGAAATGCATGCACAGCCTTCTGCACCAACAGCTGCCTTATCGGTCCCTTCTTGGCTACATTTATTTCAAGGCAAGTGCAAAATACAGGGAATTAGGCATTAGTAAGGCAAATTTTACATCCTTCTCCTTCCATTTTGTATTCTATATGCAAAATCTCTGCTTTCTGTTTCTAAATAATGTGTTTGTTGCTTAGGATTCCAGATGAATGCATCTTCTTGGCCAATGTTTCTCTTAAGAACGCTGAATGGAGCTGAAATGGCGCCTGCAGCTTTCTTTAAGAAGGTAAGAAAGGGGCTCTGAGATATTGTCAGCTGGTTCATGGTTACTTTTGTTATTGAGGAAGCCAAGATACTAAGCTCTGCTCCCTGGGGGGGAAGGCAAGAATATTAAAAAATATTTTGAATTGGATTGGCAAACTACAAAGTTAGACAGGAGGTGATCATCTGATCCATTGGATGGTCGTTGCTTTTTTTGCCCACATCTGGAACTTCAAAGTGTGCTGTGCTATTTAGAAAAAAAAATGTTGACTCTTTTTTCTCTCTCTCAAGGATTTAGGATGTGATGCAGCTCTCGCTTGTTAGCAGCACCATATTCGTGTGGTTGTGCACAGGAGTAAAAGTTTTAGTGGTAGTTAAGAGCCACTGGAGTACCACAGTGCTTGGAGAGGTTTTGTTAGAAGTTTTCATTGGATGTCTATCGAGGCTTTAAAATGTTAATAGGAATGTAGTTTAAAGTAATAGTAAAGGGTATTCTGACGCTTTTTGAAACATAAATTAAAAAAATACATATATAGGAACAATCATTCTATCAAACGTCTTGTTGGTCCAATCTTTTTGCCTTGCTGTTCCCCTCAGGGTGCTAAAATGCTGCTGTCATATTGAGTGACTTCATTTACCAGTATGGCAGCAGATTGAACAGTGTGGTTCAGACCTGCAGCCTCATTGCTTACACGCTAACTTTAAACTTTTTTGAGCTGTGATAATTCATACATCAGTGTACTAGCCTGCCTGAGATCTTTTAGGGATTATGAAATTCTTTTCTTTTTTGTATGATGCCTTTCCTACGGCAAGGTGGTGATTCAGCTTCCATTTAGTCACTGCTGTGCTCTGTAACTTTGCTGGTCACATTGACTTGATGTTTGTTTTGCTGTTGTCTACTTGGAATTGATCCAAGGCTAGCTTGGCTCACAGGGGCCTATAAATAATGTCCAATGTTAATGTTTTTTTTTCATGGCTTTATTGAGAAGTGAAGTTTGTACTAGACAGTTGTCAGTATTAATACGCAATGATTTCATTTTAGTCTTCCTGTTGTCCTGTTGCCCATAGCGTGCTGGGTGGAACCTATTGCTTATGAAAATACTTTTATTGTAGTCTTTCTGTCACAAGGATTCTTCCAGCTGTGATCGTGAATACACAATCTAGTCTTTATAGTGCAGAAGAGCAAAAACAAATTTGATATATGAATAAAGATTTTTTAAAAAAACCTAGTCTTTATAGTGCAGAAGAGCAAAAATAAATTTGATATATGAATAAAGATTAAAAAAAAAACATATATTATACTATTTTCACAACATTGTAAGAAGAAAGAATTGTGAAGAAAAAATGCTTGTTTGTTTGTAAGAGGTAATACAAAGATAAATGTTCTCCCACCCTTGCTCTCATAGGAACCACCAAAGCCTGCACCAAATTCTTTTAAAGTTGGGATGAAACTTGAAGCTATAGACAGAAAGAACCCCTACTTAATTTGCCCAGCAACCATTGGAGATGTTAAAGGAGATGAAGTTTTCGTTACATTTGATGGCTGGAGAGGAGCATTTGACTACTGGTGCAGATACGATTCTCGAGATATTTTCCCAGTCGGATGGTGTAGCTTGACAGGAGATGCATTACAGCCACCAGGGAGCAATGGTAAGATGACTAATAATATTGCTTGATTATTCTTCCTCTCAGTTATAGCAGAATTTTTAAAACCAGCTGGCTGTATGCAGATAAGACTGAAGGTTTGGTGTACAAGTAGCTGATGAGGCTGCAATATTGTTATTTTTTTAAAGTAATTTAGAGCTAATGGTGTAGTTTCTGGGAAATTATTTTTGTAAGCTCTTGTTAACTCTGGACATATATTTTATTTAATAATTGCTGTTACAAGTGTGCTTGATAATCTTTATTTTTTTCTGTGCTCAGGGAGAATCTTGGATTTAACCTATGTTTACTGTTTATATTACAGGTGGTTAAATGTTCCTGTGTAATGACACTAATATAGTCTCTGCAGCAGTGCCTTATATTTATCTAACTGCTACAAAAGGAAGGCAAAATAGATGTTTTATAGGAACGTATTGTAGTAGCTTTGCTTCTTTGATGCTTGAACATTTAAACTGTGTATTTAGTGTCTTTTGCTTCACGCTCCCAAAATTCTATTTTGAAGCTATGTGTTCTGCATGCTTTATCATCCTTATAGCTGTGTGGATGCTTGAACATACGGTTATAGAGTTCCTTTAACAGCCCCTGTGGGTTGTAAGATGTAGCCATCTACCCTGGGAACCTTTGCTTCTCAGGGGACCTCTGGCCAAGGTTCTGGCATCTGAAGTTTTGCTGCCAAACAGCTTGCGCCATTTTACTCTGCTCCCTTCAGATTCGAGATAAGGAGAGGTTTGAAAGGAGGAGCCTGTTTTCACTAGAAGTACTGAAAAAACAGAAGCAAGAAAGTAAAAAATCAGTCACTTTCTCTGCCTTCTATCTCTCTGTCGTTTTTCTTAATTTATGCCAGCACGTCACATCAAGAACTGGGTGGAGAATCTAAGTGGGATTAGTCAAGAGTACCTTTCTCAGCCGCTTGCTATTTTCCTTGCATCCCTGCCCTCATTTCCCTGTTGCTAATTACTGCCTTCAGCTGTTGCCAGTGTGACAAAGTAACTGTGATCTAGTTTAGTCTTCCTTGGCAGGTTCCAACCAGGGAGCAGCTCTGCTGGCAGAGCCACAAGGACAGGCAAAAACCTGCTACGTGAAGGCAACTGCGTCGAATCGGATGTAATGCTATGGGTACAAAACTGACTAGGCTGTTAGTGTTGTGTTAGTGCTGCTGTGCTTCACTTCCCACTCTTGGAAGTATATTTCTCGGCTTCGTACGAAGGTTGTCCGTGTCTTGACAGATTATGAAGAGCAGGTGTTATCATGGGAAGTTAATGATGTTAATTCTGAGGAATTGCTGCATCCCATTGCATCTCCTGGGAAGGAGCTCTGTCGAATCACTTGGACTGCTCCAGTGTCAGTGCTGGAGAAACTGTTTTGAGATACTACGTAGGGTGTTTGACAGAGATTAGATGTAAGATTTGTATAGCAAGTAGTAAAGACGATTGCAGTCGTTCGGGTAGTACAATGAACAAACAGATTTCTACAGTATATTCAAGATTAGTGAAGGCCTGGAATACCTAAGATGGAAAAATTTTATGAAGCCTATTGCATTGTTATTAAAAACAATGGTTCTTTAAATACTGATAAGACCTGAGGCAAAAATCTTGCTTGCCTTAAATCAAAACGGAGAATTTTGGTTATATGATAGGAATGGAGGCCGGAAGGTGCAGGCTCATGGGGATTTGGTTGTTTTTAATTCTAAAGGTGAGCCCAAAGTATTAAAAACTGAGGTTTTATTAAATTTTTTAGCTTTACTTCTTTTTTCCTCATTCTGAGCAGTAAGTATTTGTTGAGTTTTAAATTGTGCTTTTTGTCTTCATTTGTTAAACGTGCATGCTATATGCATTTGTCTAGTTTACATAGCTAGATGAAATATTTACTTTTCTCAGGGATTTTTTTCAGCACAGTTTTATTTCTTGAGTCATTAAAGAATTGTAACGATAGCCCTTTATTAAGATGTAAATAATAGCTTCAGGGAGAGTGTAATCAAGTAATTTAAGTCAGGAATATGAAAATATTGTCGGGATTCTTGAATTAAGTCATGATAACATAGACTGCATCTACCTCTGTAAAGGAAGAAAGTATGAGAAATACTGTATAGTAGGAATTCACTTGAAATCGTGTAGTGTCATTCTGGCCCAGACTTTTTTTTTATCCTGCAGATTGGCTTAGTATCCCTGTCTTAATTTTATCACGGTAGGAAATAAGAATACTTGACTGAGCGTGGCTTAGAATTTAGGGTGAATGAAGTGGGAAGTTAAATTTTTTCAACTACTTTTTTTTCTTTTTTTTCTTCTGAAAGGATATAAATGTAGTAAAATTCTCTTAAAGGACCACCCCACAGATCGTAGTGCCCAAGCAAAAGTGTATCTCTTAATCTAGGTATGAGAGTGCTTGCGTGGTTCTCTAAGCGTCAACTATTCCTAAAATGACAGTTTGCTGTCAAGAGACTTACATTTCTATGACCTAGTTTAGCACTTAGCAAGAGAGGTGAAGAATTGCAATAAGGGAGGCCTAATCTAGAACCTGGGGAAGGTCTTATTTGAGCATTTCAGCCGTTTCGGATCTCTGGAAAGAATGTAGACTTTTGTCGTAGGAGGTTTTTAAGGACCAATTAAGACACAGACTTCTTAAGTATGGTTGAATTTACTTCGGAAAAACTTACGGGACATATTTAGGCTTTTCAGCTCTATCTTTTGTGAGCTCCATTGTTTTTAGAAAGATAACCTCAAGAACTGACACACAATTGCTAGAAGATAAAAAGGGAAAGTTAGAGAAAAGTTTGTTGTTGTTTCTGTTTTTTGTTTTTTTTTTTTTTCAACATGCAAGCGTTAAGTCTTGCTGGTGTTGTCTTTGATAATTTTCAGTAAACACAACTTAGGTGAACCTAGACATTAGGGCATGTGCACCATCGTATGAAATGTAGTCATACTATTTATTAGTTATTCTAGCAGTAGCTCTGTTTAGCTATTACTGTAGTTGGTAGGTTTCTCTAGAAATATCTCCCATCGTAGTGATATACGTACTGCATGGTTTGGCCGCAGTGCTTATTATCAGCTTGGCCAGCTGGGCCAAGATTAATATTAGAAGGATGCAGTAGCTTGTTATTCTGTCTCTGTGTGACTTCAGTGCTGTTAGAGATGGCTTGTTGCTCAGTGTGAACTACAGCTGCAGATTGAAGTTGGTGTCATGGTGTTTGTGCTGGATCAATCCAAAGGACCAGCTGCTCTAGCATGCTTTCTCTCGCAGTGGCTGCAAGCAGATGTCTGAAGACAAACATGAACAGCTAGGGGAGAGGTTTGCAGAAGTGTTACTAATACCTGGCAGCCCCCGAGGCCAGGAGTAATGCCTCTGTGCTGCATCCCGCCTGGGAGGTTTCCATCTCCTCGCCTCAAGTACATTTAGAGCCATCTGAACTCGGAGCACCTAGGACATTCTGAGGCAGGGAGTTCTGTACTTAAGGATCTGTTCTGTGGAAAAGAGAGAATTCTTTCTGGTAGTTTCTGATAGTTTCATTTGTTGTCCTCTAGTTCTTGCATAGAAATAGATTCTTCTGCTTTCTGGTTGACAGTTACTCTCTGTTGGTCTTCCTCATTTTAGTCATGATTTTGAGACCTATATTCTGTCTTACCTCAGTAGTCTCTATTACCAGCTTGTGAAGTCCTGTTCTGTTTTTCCTTGTATGGGATCAGTGTAATTCTGATCATCTGTTCACCTGATCGTAATTTCATTCTTATGCACTGTTTCCATTTCAGCTCTATCATTTTGAACCACTGGAACCAGAAATGCACACAGAATGTAAGGCTCAATAGCACTGTTGTGTTTTCTGTTCCCTTTTTTATTATTTTTTTTTCCCTCCTTTATAATAAATCTTTGCTTTCTAGCTGGGATTTTTGTACTCTTGTGGAGCAATGACCTAATACTGTAAAATAGTTAAATTCCAAGATGTCACTTTTGTGTAAATCATCTAGTAGCTCATTGTTGGTGGCAGAAGCTGTGTTATTTTGAAATGCTTGACATTGAATTTCATCTGTTACACTGTTAGCTGCTAAGCAGCCTTGCATTTTTGGAAGATCTTTCTCTACATCTTTACTGATTCAAGTAATAATTCTTGCCATCTTGTGCTTTACTCCTCTTTTTTTTTTTTTTTTTTTTTTCCCTCCCCAGAATGTTAAATTTATTGAATGACACAAGCCCAGGCAGAGATCTGGTCTCTCGCTGGGAGTCCTCTTGACTGTGGAAACATGTCTGCTTATTCCTGATCGATGTTTGGTATTTTCCAAGAAATTCTTTAAAAGGATCGTAAGGATCTTCCATCGTATTTGTTCCCAAGCTTAGAGAGTTTTTTCTTTTCTTTTGCGAGGAGGGAGTAGTTTTTCAAAAATTTTGAAGAGAATTTAAAAACAAATGCTAATCTACAGACTACATCAATTGACTTTCCACATACCCCTTAACAGACTCCTTTCTTTACAGGAAGCATGTTTGGTTCTTCCCCAATATGTTGTATTTATCTCTGTGGCCATTACTTCTGTTATGTACGCTAGCTTCTAGCACCTCAGCCAGCACAAACATCAGGTATCCTGTCTACAACTTCCTGGAACCTTTTGAAAATGTTGGCATTGCATTAACCACCTTTAAGTCTCTGGACCCAAGGCAGTTTTAAGGAAGAGTTTGCACAGCATAGTCAGTAGGTTGGTCACTTTGTCTTTCAGTTTCCTTAAAACTCTTAAGTACTGTCTGTCCTGCCAACTCCTTACTATTTGTTTTGTCTCCGTTCCCTAACCTCTTCTACTGGCACTTCATGTCAGATAACTTGTTTTAAATCACTGCAAATAGGGGTTCTGGTATGGGAACTTATGCAGGCTCCTTTTGAGTGAATATGAATGTTAACAAAAAAAATAGAATTTTGTTGCTTTAGCGTCATCTTGTATGTGTGCTCATTGATCGTCTGCTGGCTTGGATAATTTCTGCTTTTGGCATACTTTACAATGGATCCATTA